CCATTATCTCTATGCTAGCCACACTGTTCATTCTATTTCAACTAAAATTAACCAACTACTGCTACCACAATCTACCACAAACCAAAGTCATAAAAACAACAACAGACAAGGGGTTAATATCTTATAATGTAAAGCACTTACAGAAATCAACTACAGAAGGTTGCGAACTGATAATTCACAACAGAAAAAATTGAAATGGTTAATAAATATACGAAAAAAGTATTTTATTACTAATCAAAGAGAAGCTGACTTAAACAACAATGCCATTCTCATTTTTTCACCTTCCAAGTTAAGCAAGGTTAAAAGGTTAACTTGCTTAATACTGGAGTAAGTATAGTAAGAAGCCATTTTTTAAGTGAGATTTTTGCTATAGGGCGTGTGTGCTCGCTGGAGAGACAGAGACATAAAGTAAGAAATCACCCCCTGGGGGATGGCCATACTGCAGTCCCTTCTCCATTCTCCTCTTGGGATCTTGATCATGCACGCACACATACTCGGAGTGAGTTTTAAGCCACCAGGTCCGGGACTTGAACCACTGTTGACTATGCGAGAGTCTGATGATGTAACCATTTTGCCATCTTCTGGTCCCAGAAGCCATTCTTATATGTTGCTGATGAAGTATAAATTTGTACAATCTTTTAGGTAAGTAATTTGGTCATTTCAGTCGAAGAGCTTAAAAGTGGTCTTATTACTCATCCTTGTTTGGGGAATTTTACCTTGAGAAATTTTAAGAAAAAAATATATGCATATATATTTTATGCACAAAAATGTTTATCCCTGGGGGTCATACAGTAGCTCAGTGGTAAATATGATGTGCTGAGGCTGACCCACATAGGAAGGTTCTGGGTTTGTGTTTGAAGACCTCCAAGTCTCACACATATGCCTGGGATCCAGGACTGGCAGAGGCTGAGGGTAAATTGTGGTATCAAGACTCTGCTTGGGGTGCTGCTCTCTGCCCATCTGTCTGTCTCTGTCTCTCTCACTCATGGAAGAAATTAACTTAAAAAATTCATCCCCATTTTATGCATTGTATTAAAAATTAGAGAATACTAAGTGCTTAAAGTTACATGATAAAGTAAATTAGTCCATGACAAGAATATATAATGAGTTTTAAAAAGTTAAAATGAGAATGTGAATTCAGTAATGAATACATGTTAGGTACTACTTTAATTGTTTTATATTCATTTGCTCATTTAACTCACACTTCAGCCACACTGGGTATCTTCTCTTTGTCCCTCTGAGCACAGCCACCAGAGTGGTCAGGACACTCTAACACTTTCTTGTCATTATGGATGTTTCCACCTAAAATTTATCAGTTCGTATTTATGCATCAAGTGCATGGTTGTCTAATTACTCTTTTTGAAAAGAATTATTTAGTCAATTTTTATTTATTTTTTTGAAGAATTATCTACTCAGTTAATTCCATTTGTTATTATTAATTTTTTCTTCAATTTTACCAGAGAGAGAGAAAAGGAAAGTGAGAAAGCAAGCTGCCAGGTCCAGGACTTGAACCGCTGTAAACCACTTGGGAATCCAGCCTTTATCCATTATGCCACCTGCCAGCCTCTATTGTTATTACTTTTAAAATTTTCTATAGGACATGTGTGCTCACCAGAGAGAGAGAGAGAGACAGAGAGAGAGAGAGAGAGAGAGAGAGTCAGAAAGTAAGCTGCCAGATCCGGGACTTGAACCATGGTCAGACATGTGGGATTTCAGCACTTTAACCACCATGCCACCTGCTGACCCGTCTAATTATTCATTTTTTAAAGAACGATTTAATTTTATTATTTAAAAAAATGCTACAGGGCATGTGGGCTCACCACAGAAAGACAGACAGAGAGAGAAAGCAAGACACCAGGTCCAGGACTCCAACCACCGTTGGCCACATGGGAGGCCAGCACCTTAACCACCAAACCACCTGCTGGCCCATGTCTAATTACTCTTAGTAGCTCGACCACTAAACTGTGTTTTCCATGATGACTGGCTTGTATTGCCTGTGGTATCCCTAGTACCTTGCCTGGTGCCTAGCAAATAGTGTGAAATCAAGTATTTGAATGAAATAAAAGCAATGAGAATAAGAAGAAAGGTGGACAAAATTACATTAGGAAGAGCTGCATTCTTTATATCTATTATTATCATCTATTATTTTTACTATGCTTCAAGGTTTAATAAGATATTGTTCCAATTTAGTCATAAATCTCAAGTAAAAGCTATTAAAACAGGATAAAGAAATGACAAAAGTCTTTATTTCTTTAGTTTATTCAGCAAGATCCTTGATAAGGAATGGGGAGGAGGCCAGGCAAGAGAAATGTTTATAGGTGGTAACAGATACCTAGTTAACTTCCCAGAGTCCTCATCACATACTCTGAACTCATATCATAATTCCATCGATTTTTGAAGATTCCAGTGATAATAAGTTTAGCTCTAAGAAGATAAGAATAAGTGGAAATTTAAGGAAGAAATGAAATTAGCCAGAAGCTGGCTGCCCACTAAGCAAATGCACTAAATAAACTCTTTGTAGTAAGATGCAAAAACACGTTTTCTTATTTGTTTCTGCACCTAAGCTATCCCTTGACTTCCACATTTAAAATGCAGTCCCACTTAGTCTGTTATAACTGAGTAATTTTTCTTGCCAACTTGCTTCAATTTTGCTTAAGCACCTCGTTTTGAAAAATCCCATAGAGAACCAATAACTGGGGGCTCTTCCCCAGTGACAGGTTCCACTCCTCTGGGCACCGCCCCTCCCAACACAGGAGAGTGTGCGGCTGCGCAGACCACGCCGGCGTGTATGTTGCGCCACAAAGGGGTCAGACCAAGTGGGGCAACAGTTCAGACTCCGCTTCTTTCAAATACCTGATTATCGAACACCACTTCCACCCATATCGCTTTCACTTAAAGTGTAAGAATGAAAGCATCAGGTTGAGATCCTACACAGTGACGCCACACCTACTCCCTCACTCTCGTTTGGCTACCGCACCCCCTACTGCAATGGTATCGTCCAGCCACTGCAAGCACGAAGGTTCTCTGCGCGTGCGCAGCGGGCAGACCGGGAAGGTGGAGCCAGGCAACGCCAGCACCTCCTCTCCCCGCCCCCGAGTGGGTCGGGCCACCCAGGCAGACTTCGTTGAGTGGTGATCAGTGACAGCCAGGCCAGAGGGACAGAACCCGTGGGGGAGGATGGGGGGAATCGAGCACTTCTCACAGCGCCCCGCATGATCCATAACCATGAGCACTAACAGTTCGGCCACTTCCGGCGGCCCTGGGGGTCCCGGAGGTCCCAGCGGCCCCGGAGGGT